CTACCACTCCAGTATTCTGGCCTGGAGAATTCCATGGACTGTATAGTCCATGGGGTCGTAAAAAGTCGGACACGACTGAGCGATTTTCACTTACAGACAGAATCAGAGCATTTCAGTTGAACTCTGTAGCTGGTAAGGGGGCTGTGTTGATAATGGTTAAATATGTGTTTTCTGTTATCACTTCCCTTATTTGTAAAGATGGCTTTCTCTAGAGCTTGCCAAGGCAGTGGTAGCAGGACCCAGGAGAAGCAATGGTCATGCACTTCATTCATCTACCAGAGCTTCCTTTATGATGCTTGACTTCTCTCTGCAGTGTGCACCGTGACCAGCTGGCCCCTCTCAATACTGGTGCTAGATTTTAGAACTGACAATTAAGATGATGTTTTTAGGGAAAGGGTCATCCTAAAAACACCCTCTCTATAGCCACTCAACTACTCTTTGATTACACACAGCTAGAAGGAAAAAAAACACGTTTAATTGTCTCTACAATTATGATTTTTTTAGTAAGTTTATAGTAAATGGGGGAGATTAATAAAGGGCTATTTTATTCTCAGCTTGTGGTTTCTCATTACATCAGTTACAGCTTAGCCTTCCTCTTCACTGGAGTGCAGGCATGGACTGGAAAAGAATGAGCTAATCCTTGATAGATCAGGTGGAATAAAGATCTCTATTCATATCTTTACCTTTTATCCCTTGTTCTGAGTGCCAAGAATTAATGCTGTTTGAAAGTACAAGCTGAACCTGCCAAGCTTCGGACAGCTAAGATAATCCTAATTATTTTAAATGTTAGTGAGAAGGGCAGCAGTTCTACTCTGGAATAGAGTCCTCTTGTGAAACATGAAATGTCTGCTAAGTGGTATTGATTGGACATGATTTTATTTCCAAACACCATGGTTATCATGAAGTGGAAGAATTCGTTGTTGAAGACATTTTCATCAGCTTTTCATCAGACTCTTAGGCCTGCAAACTTGAGGAAACCAAAGAGGCCAGCACTTTTGTTTTTTTTTCTGTCAGCATCTAGGTGAAGAGTTACTAACAGTTGAAGAATGCCACTTGCATTTTTATTTTTAAAATGGTTTCTTACTGGGAGCTTACTAGTATTTAGCATATAGAGAAAGAACAATTTTTTTTCTCCTCTAGCATGAATATCCTGTTTTTTCACCTCACTGGAAGAGAATTATTCATTCCAGTCCACTGACTCCCAACAGATCATTCAAGTTAAAAGTCAAGGGTCTTTACAATGTCAAAAGATTTAGCAGTTAGACTGGGTTTTGTTGTAGAGAGGTGGGTTTGAGGGGATAGTCTATAATATGTTCCAAGAAGAATATCTGTGAGTAGATGACATCATGGAAATCATCTGTTTTTTTCCCCTCAGCATTGATGCGAGTGATTATGTGTAAGGTTTGTTTTGAAGTAATAAAGAAAGACCGTTTAGCTTCTGTAGACAAATAGGCTACTTGAAAGAAAACAGATACTGGGCTTGCTGGTTCATACCAGGGTCAGCCTCGGAGGTTTACCCACCTTTCATTGTGACATGAAAAACAGATCAGATGGGCACTTTGCCCGTTTTCTTACTTTTCAGTCTCTACTTTGGCCTCCAGAAGTTGTTTCTTCCATTTCTGTAAATGCTAGGAGCCCACTGATGATTACAGAGTAGTGCAATCCTGATTTGTCTATTGCTTGTGAGAGCTTCCTGCTCCCATCCCCACCCCCATCCCCACCCCCAAAGCAAAGCACTCCCATCTTCACTCATGCAAATAGTGGTGTGTTGAGCATCTCCAGCAAATTATTTCTTTCTTTGGGTTTATTCCCCAGAGTGGAATTACCAGGTCAGAGGGTATGAACAGTTTTACGGTTCTTATTACATGTCACTAGATTGCTGTCCAGAAAGATTGAACCAATTTCTAGTGCTACCAACCGCATATCTTCCCCCACAGTCACATGGACACTAGGCATTAGCATTTTTCTTTTAAATTGAAATTAGCCACCTTTAGGTCTCATTAGAATCAACACACAAAAAGGAGAATTTTGGCTTTTTAATTTTTAATTGGTATAAAATGATTTAAAATGATCAATTGTTCTTTGCCCCAATGAAGTTAATGAAGCGGCATTTAAATGAAGAGGGTACCTGAGGGACTATATTTAAGGGTGATAGTAAAATAAATTTTGGACATTAGTCACTAAGGTAAATACTTAATAAGTCTTTGATGCACTTGGAACTACTCTTATGAGGTGCTATACAAAATGAGTTAAACAGATAACTGTCCTTAACTTCAACATTGAAAGACAGTGCTAAGCCTTTCAACAAAAGTAAAATGAACATGGATTTAATGTTTGAGAGGAGAAAAGCTTTGAAAATATAGACATTTCCCAAACCAGGTTGAGTTCATTTATTTGCATCTTCTCTGGAGTGCAGTCACGCATTAAGTAGGCTTGGCGCCTCCCTGGTCTATACAGGTGACACATTCTGCACAGGTTCACAACCCCAGGTCAGAGGACTACTTTCCAAGAAAATATCCACAAGGCAAGTGAGAGCAAAAGGCAGAATTCCCGCCCTTCCCTTTTCCAGTCCCAAGTGGGCTGAATTGGGGAGTCAGGGTGTGGGAGGCATCCCTAGGTGAGCTGTTGTTACCTGTAGGGGAAGGCAATCGCAGGGCTCAGAACTTATCTGGAGACTGCTCACCTGTTTTTTTATAGCCTCTGAATTAAGTTGACAAGGGTCAGTTATTTTGCCTCCTCAAATTCACACAGACATTAGGAAGTTCCAGTGGCCACTGACTTAACATGGCACCCCAGCGTGGGCTAGTGCATGGATGAGAACAAGCCAGAAGGTGGGGCTGACCAGTGTTGCGCTGCCCAGGGCAGCTTCCACAGGGGCCCCTTTGTAAAATGGCAGACTAATTCTCTCAGTGGATGGTTTGAGGGTTAAATTTACATACTCATTGAAGTAGGTGACGCACAAGAAGTAGTCAGAAAACATTCATTCCCTTCCCCATCTCTTATATACAGAGGGCCTTCTGTTCCTGGCTTGAGGTGAGGATGGGGGTGGGCAGGTTAACTCACAGACTCTGCTTGGCCCTTAGCTGGCTCTCCAGGGCTGGGTGTAGTGACAGGATGTCAGAGCAAAGTCTGCTGTCTGTAGATACAGCATCCTTGGGCATGTAACACAATTCAGAGATTATCTTGGATTTGCACGGAAATTTAAATCCATATAACAGTTCAAATTTAGTAAGAAGCCTTTATGAATAGCAAAACAAGAATTTGAAAGCTTCAGGTTTCCGAAGTTCCAAGTTCTTTTGGTTGCTATTATATATTTATACATGCATGTGGACACTTTTGTGGACATCTGTAAAGTACTCCTTAACAATCAATGCTTTCTTAAAAAAAACCTTACAGATTCATACCCTTGCTTTTTATTTAACTTACTAAATCTGAACAAATAACTCTCATTATCAAAAGTAAATTGCTTGTCAGGAAGTTACCTACTTTGTTTTTCGAATTTATTAACTCATTAAGTTTTCAGATCATTCGTTTTGTAACTGGATATTGACATAACTATCCCAAATTATCCATCTGTCTGTCTGTCCATATGTCACATTAGAAGAATGGAACTTTCTGAAATAATTTGGTCCAGTGCAGTGGTTAAAGATCTGCTTCTTAAATCCCAGCTCTGTTCTTTTATTTCTGTGTGGTTCCACTAGCTGCAGCAAACCTTCTCCAGACCCATAACAAGCATAAATAGTGTTCTCTTGTAAAAAGGTCTCTTTTCAGCATGGTAATATACCTTATTAAATTCCAAACATAATAAGTATTGATGGCAAACACATCAGGACCCAGTACAGCTTCTACTATGATTTAGTTCTCTACAAATGACTTCAGCACTCAGCTCCCAATGCATTTTGCTAATTACATCATAGATTTCCCTATTGATGAACACAAGCTGAATTAACACAGGAGCACTAATGTACCCTTTCACCATTATTGTTGTACAAGAAGCCGTGGCAGATGCTGGCAGTTAGTTACACAAACATTAGTATTAACGATTGGCCATTTGGAATTGGTGACAAACTACTGCCCGGCAGAATCCTGAGGCTGAAACCAATCAGGAAGTTAATGAGGAGAGAAATTACCACTGCAGCTTCCCCTTAATTACATTCACACTAGGCAGGAAGGGAGTTCTGGGGGTGGATCTAAGCTCAGATAAGGTTAAGAAGGTCAGAGGCCCTTTTGCTTAAATTTTGTATCTATTGTGACTTGTAAGGTTGCAAAAATTGTTCAACACATTATTACTTTAGCATCCTTCATATTTAATGTTAGTTCCTTGTGGGGGCTTTATGTTTATAGGTTTGCTGTTAAAATCTTTACTTGACTGCTGTTTTAGTGTTGTATAATTCAATTTCTTTTACTTTTTATGTTTTTTTTTTAAAGTTTCCTTCCCATTTACTGTTTTTTATTTTTTAAAAGTTATGTATGCTGACCCTCCCATGAGTGCTTATCTGCCCCCATCCAAGAGAAATAATAGGAAAGTTCTCAGAAGCTGTCTCTTTCACTTGCTATACATTGAGAAACTAGGCTTACCAGTCAAATGGTGGAATACATGGGTGGGGTCTTGCTTGGGGAGACTTGTTAGGTGGATCAGTTGACAAGGCGCCAGTTCTATTAGCATCCTTTACATAAAGGGAAGGGGCTATGTGTAGGGTGGAAACAGTGTCCCTAAAGAGGGGTGAGCCGCCTGTTTTTTGTTTTTAATGAACATAATATTTAATCTCTGCTGCCTAACTTAACCTCTACAGTTGCATAGATAATACTGTGCAGAAGTGCTATTTTTTTAATTCTAAAGAAGCGCTAGAGATTTTACTGAGTGTCTGCATAAATACTTCGAACTCAGAAATTGCAGAGCACCTTTCTCTTTGTTGGAACCTAATTGCAGACTGGTTGTAGAGACTAGCCACTTCTAACGCGCTTTTCTCCCTTTCTCTCTCTCCCTCCCCACTTCCCAG